GAGAGAGAGAGAGAGAGAGAGAAGACCCACCGCTAATGCCCTCCAAGCCACTCGCCAACACACAACGTTATACATATAAAAGGTAAATGTAGTAAAATAAGATCTGAACTGTCATTTAAAGCCCGCCAACACCTTTACGCTCATACTTCACTAAGAGACAGTAGAAAAAAAAAAACCAGAAGGAACAGTCCACATCAGTTTTAACACTTGTCTGCAAAGGCAAAAAATATGCACACAAAAAAAACCAACACAAAAAAAAAACAGATTACAACACACATCAACCATATGATACACCACCAGCCATACAAACAACTCAACGGACACAACACAGCGAGCAACACAAAGTAATAAGCTGCAGCATCAGTGCACTTTCAGGTAGGTCTTGTGACTCACTGACATCCTCCAGAGATGAACCATGAGTCGCGGAATTTAATAGTGGACGTCATAGAGCGAATATCATTATACGTCGTATACAAGGAGATTGTTGAACAGGAAGCAACAGTCTTGGGTAAAACCACATCTCAGGAGCATAGAAAATATAACATAAGTCACACCAATTCGTTCTCCGCTCGAGCGCGCACACAAATACACATACACACGAGCACATACACACACGAGCACACACACACACATACATACATACATACACACACACGCACACACACACATACACACACACACACACTAACTTTCTCTCTCTCGCTCAATCACACAAACACACACACACACACACACACACACACACACACACACACACAGACAAACACACACACACACACACGCACGCACACACACACAACAAGACTATAAGCAGTGCTACCATAAAAACAACAATTAAAAAACAATGTTCAATCAAATACCAAACAGTAACAACAGCGAAGGGGGTGCGGACCACAGAAAAATGCCAACCAAGCACAAAACAGAGGGTGTGTGGCTTACCACTCAGAGGGATCAGTGGAGGCGCTGTAATGGGGCGCGGCGAGAGAAGGGGGGAGGAGAAACAAGGTGGAAACTGTTTGAGTTATCAATTTGTTCAAGTTCAAGAGAAGCACATAGGCACGACAATAGGGTCAAGTGGTGAAAGTGGTAAGCAAATTAGACAGGACAGAAATAATATAAGATTCGATTCCACCCCGAACGTCCGTGCCAAATTCGCTGTAAACCATATGTAAACATCAAAAGTCACGCCAGCAAAGGTTTAAACGGTGAGGTCACGTCATTTTCTTCACGGAATCTTGTTCCATCACGTTTCCCGAGTGAGTTAAAGGGGAGAAAACGGGCTCATTTCCCTCCAACTACGCGCTACTGACTGGCGGGAGGGAGGCAAGACAGACACAATACAATGGGCACAAGTCACGCAGACCAACTGTTGCCGTGGGAATACCCAGAGACCGTAAGTACCGTATATATTATCATTGGGAATACCTCCACCAAGACGAGTAGAGCGGGAAGTAACAATTAGCACGAAACAGGTTTCGTTTGGTTTGTGCGAAGAGAAGCACGCTGACACGATACAACGGTTATTTCGAGCAGTGAAAATGTACTACAGGTGAACAGAAACAACAGAGGGAGAGAAAAAAGACGTAGGACCTGACCTAACAATGGCGCCTTCCAACCACCATCTTAATTAAAGGAGGGCATTGCGATACTAGCTGAACGTTATTTGATGAGACCACGGCATTCAATAATAACGTGTTTGATGCATTGTTGTCTGTCAGGTCAATAGTCACTGAAGTAAGAAGCAAAATAAAGCATCCTTAGCAACACGACACAGTGAAGGAGGGG